CTGGTGACACTTGAATGGAACCCAAGTTGGTGTGATTTCAGAGTACACGTTGAGTACTACATTGTTATGTAACAATTGGGGCGGGATATTAAAGAATGGCCCTAGGAGACTTACTGAAAAATAAAAAAACATGAGCCCTATACTACAGAAAACGTACCCAAGTTCGCTTAGAAATTATTTGAAGAGCTTCATCATATCAGGTAGATTCTATCTAGTGTAAATCAGCATATGATCCTCTATGATGTTCCACAAGAACATCCTTTCAAAACGAAAAAATTTTTTTTTGGAAAAATTTCCGTACCGCATCTCGGTCTTTTGATGGAGAATCTTTTTCTATAAAATCCCTGTACTCCCTAAGGGAAGTTTTTGCAAAAAAAGTTTTTTTCATTTTGAAAGGATATTTTTATGGAAGATGAGAGAGCATCATGTGCTGGTTTACGCAAGGAGCAGTTTATCTGATTTGATGAAACTCTTCAAGTAATTTCTGAGCGAACTTCGGTACGTTTGATGTAGAATAGGGCTCATTTTTTTTGTATTTTTCAGTAAGTCTCCTAGGACCATTCTTTGAAAACCCACCCCAATTGTTACATAACTATGTAGTAAAGCTCTCAACACACTAGAAGACTCGGGGTCTTCTATTGTGTCTTATCATTCACAAGTTACAAGCGGGTCATCTATTATGTCCCTAAAAAAAAGTCAAACTTTTTTCATAATCTCAGCGACAAATTCTAATTTCAATCCTTTTTTGTCCAATACACTGTTAGAAAACGAGTTTATTTTGCTTATCCCGCTCTCGTACAATGGAAAAGAAGCAGATAATGTTTTAATGCAAAAAAAAAACAATCGTTGGTTAGAAGAGTGTTCTTAAAACAACATAGACAACATATCCTACAATTTTTGTGAGATTTGTAACGGCACTATTTGTTCTAAAGGATACGATCTATCACTAGTGGCATTTATGTTCTATATAACTACACCGTCGGAGAAAAGTCTTTCTTCCTCTTTATTTCTATACTATCATACTTTGCATGAAATTTATTGCCGAGTAAAGATATGACATAAGAGTTTTATTTCAATATGGTAAAGATCAGATTGAAATAAAACTCTTATGTCATATCTTTATTTGGTCATAAATTTGATTCAAAGTATGATAGCATAGGAATAAAGAGGGAGAAAGACTTTTATTCAAGGGTCTAAATAACTTAAAGAAAGAAAATAAAACCTTTTTCAGTGAAAGTTATTTAAGTCAGTTGTTTATGTTGAGGATTGGCTCGTATAAATAGAATTGGTTTAAAATGAAATGTACCACCAGCTTAATTATTAGTTTCTAGTAGGGGTATCAGGGTTTCCGTACTTTGAAGTTCGGTTCCTAAGGAACTGGAACCCACTTGATTATTCATTTCTATGCATTTTTGAACGCGTTGGAGTTCATAGACATACTTTTTCTTTCGTTTTGAGCACGCCACTCCGGCTTCCCTGGTTCCTGGGACCGGGAATCCATACCGGGTTCCGGGTTCCTAGGAACGGGAACCCAGTTGAAAATTCATTTCTGTGCATTTTTGAGCACACTGTAGTTCATAGACATACTTTTTCTTTCGTTTTGAGACAGGTCTCCCCGGGTTCCCGGGTTCCCAAGAGCGAGAATCTGCACCGGGTTTCGGGTTCCCAGGAACGGGAACCCGCATCGGATTCCGGGTTCCTAGGAACGGGAACCCGCATCGGATTCCGGGTTCCTAGGAACGGGAACCCGCATCGGATTCCGGGTTCCTAGGAATTGGAACCCGCATCGGATTCCGGGTTCCTAGGAACGGGAACCCGCACCGGGTTCCTAATAATGAGGAACCCAGTTGCAAATCGTTCAGAATAGAAATTTAGGTACGGTTCCCAGTTTTTGGGAACCCGGTGGGGTTCTCGTTCCTGGGAACCCGGGAACCCGGAGAGACTTGTCTCAAAACGAAAGAAAAAGTATGTCTATGAACTCTAGTGTGTTCAAAAATGCACAGAAATGCATTTTTAACCGGGTTCTCGTTCCCAGTAACCCGGAAACCCGGAGTGACTCGTCTCAAAACGAAAGAAAAAGTATGTATAAGCACTTCAATGTGTTCAAAAATGCACAGAAATGAATAACCAAGTGGGTTCCCGTTCATAGGAACCCGGAACCCGGTGCGGGTTCCTGTTCCCAGGAACGGAACCCAAAACTGACACCTCTAGTTTCTAGCTAATTTGAATGAATATGGTTGTCCACGAAGAAACAATTTACAGAAACAGAGCGATTGAATAAACGTTGAGACTGATTTTAGAATCTTTAGTGTCTGTTTCGAAAAGTAACTTGGCATCTTTATGCAAAAAGAAATATGTCCTCATACAGAGGAGGGGTATTTCATAAAACACGTCGCATTGCAAATCCTCAGAGATATGTTTTTTCCAATTATGAATGAGATCTTCCGTGATAAGAACATGTCAGAATTTCTAGAAGAAAGTGCACAGACGCAGGGAAGTATCAAGTAATGGACAGCAAGTTTTTAGCCAAGATGTTCTTATTTCGCAAAGATCTCGTCATGTGTGACACATTTGGATGCGTGCCGCGTTAATTAGGTCCTATAATCGTTGCAACCAATATTTTCGCAAAGGAAGTCTAACAAGTTTCTTCACAGTAGGCTGCAAAGGAGCATTAGAGTGACCTTAAGACACGTTTTTTTATACAGAAAACTTTTCTTTTGTGGAACTCACATATATTTTCGAAGAAAATAGTGAGTGTAAGTTTTAAGGTCAAGTTTTTGCGGCTCCCCCCCCCCCCCCCCCCCCCCCC